GCTTCCTGCAAGGTGTGCCATTGTGACATCACAGCCCACAAAAATGATATAAAGCGTCATAATTCTTCTGCAAAACATGTTTACAATTTTGCACAAGTAAATTCAAACAAAAAAATTATCAATATGATGACTACATCAAATGATCCAATCCAAAGGGCGGAATTAAAGTTGTGTGGGGTGCTTGCTTGTAATAATTTACCGTTTTCACTGATGGACACTTTAACGCCAGTGCTTGCAGACATTTTCCCTGATTCAAAAATTGCTGCCAAGATGAGCCTTAAAAGGACAAAAGCTACTTGTCTTGTTAGAGAAAGTTTAGGACTTGTATTCCACAAAAATTTATGTGATATTTTAAAGGAGCCAGGATGCTTCTTTTCTTTAGTTATGGATGAAACAACGGATGTGAGTGCAATAAAACAATGTGCAATTGCTGTTATATACTATTCGCAAACAAATGATGTGAAAGTAACTTTTTTTGATATGATTGAAACTCCATCTGGAAGAGCTAATGATTTATTCAACTGCTTGAAAACTAGTATTTTGAAAAAAAATATTCCCATGTCTAATCTTGTAGGCTTTTCATCTGACACCACAAATGTGATGGTATGTGAACATAATTCAGTATTTTCGAATTTAAAATCTGAATTACCCAACATTTTATGTGTAAAATGTAGTTGTCATATGGTACATTTAGCTGCGTCAAAGGCATGTTTGAAGCTACCCAGATCAGTTGAAGACTTGCTACGTAATATTGGTTCTCATTTCAGTAGTAGTTTTTCAAGACAAGAAAAATTAAAAGAATTCCAAAAATTTTTTCAAACCGAAATACACAAGATATTATTGCCTGCCAACACTCGTTGGCTTTCTTTAGTAAGTTGTGTTAATAGAGTGCTGGAGCAATATGAACCTCTGAAAGCATATTTTCGAGAATTAGTTTTTGAAGACCCCTCAAAAACTACAGAAGAAATACTTAATACTGTGGATAACAAATTCACTAAAATTTATTTAGAGTTTATGTCATATACACTCGGACTTTTAACGGATTTTATTGTATTATTTCAGTCAGAATCTCCGCTCATACATAAATTGAAACCTGAGACACAAAGATTGTTGACAAATTTATGCAGCAATTTCATTAATTTTAATGATCTGAAAGGAAGAAATGTTTTTATCCTTAATCACAAAAATCCTCTATTGTTTGTGCCACTTTCCAAAATTTATTTAGGCATTTTTGCTACCGAATCTTTAGAAATTTTGAAAAATGATGCTTCCCAATCTGATATTGAACAGTTTCTCAAAACTTGTCTAAACTTTTATATAGAACTTGTTTCTGACATTAAAACGCGATTTGATTTTTCAGATCCTATTTTTAACCTTTTAACCGTTCTTGAACCAAAAATTGCCCAATCCTATGAAATAAAATCACTTCAACCAGTTTTACAAAGATTTCCAATAATCAAAGAATTCACGAATCTTCAAGTTTTGAACAATGAGTGGAAGCAGCATGCTTTTTTAAATCACACAGAATATGGTTTAGATTGTGGACTAAGTTGTGAGAAATATTGGAAAATCGTATTTCAGTTGAAAAACGATGCAAATGTTCTTCATCCTTTTCCCCAACTTGAAAAGAGTGTTTTCATTACTTCTGATTCTTCCTTTTTCAAACGCATGTGTTGAAAGAATTTTTAGTGATTTAAAAAATATAAAAACATCACAGAAATGCTTTAGACACCACAACGTTGACGTCTTTAATGGCGACAAAAAGAGGTATTAATGATCTGGGGGGTTGTTTAAAATTTGAACCCAATGAGGAAATGATTCATGCTAAAATTTGGACCAAAAAATAAAACAGTTATTATAATAGTATTTTTTTTGTGGGATCCTGTAAAGTACCTTTGAAAATATTTTTTTTAATTTTTAAATTTGAAAGTTAGAAATTATAATATTGTAAAATATTTTATTTATGTTCGATACTTTAAAAATGTGTACATTTGTGTAAAAAATATATATATTTTTGTTATTGTTTTTTTATTAAAATCTTTTAAAAAAGTGCATTTTATTACAATTTAAAATTACCGCAATGAACGAGATCGGGTAAAAGCGGGTATTTTCGCAATCGTGCTTGGGTAATTTAGACATATGCCTCNATTGCCTGTCAACTAACTCACAGAGTACAGAACACATACATCATAGAACAAAAACAACTAAAGAACGGAACAGTAATACCAACTTATCAAATGATAATTATAACATGAATCGATATAATCTAACACTTCGCAAGTGCAGGTTATAAAATTGTTTTTCCAGTTATGACTACGCACAGTGAAAGTTTTGTGTTTTTACAAGAATCCACCACTACATTCCCTAGATCCCTACACTTCCACAGAGGACCCCCGTAAGCAACCAGTTAAAGTGATTAAAGAACAAGTGATCTTCGCGAGTGCAAGTTATAAAATTGTGAAACGTTCCCTAGGGTTAAAGAATTTTTTACCCTATTTCGTTGATACGGGTACTGTCTCAAAAACTTAGTATTTTTTTGTTCAAGTTGTTTATTTTTCACAGCAGGGATATGTGATTATTATTTAACCATTCTGGCCTTCCATGCAGTAGCTTCAACTACACTAATTCTAAGAAAACTATGGCAAATAAAGTTNTTTCGTTGATACGGGTACTGTCTCAAAAACTTAGTATTTTTTTGTTCAAGTTGTTTATTTTTCACAGCAGGGATATGTGATTATTATTTAACCATTCTGGCCTTCCATGCAGTAGCTTCAACTACACTAATTCTAAGAAAACTATGGCAAATAAAGTTATTTCAAACATTACATTAATTCCATTTTATAAAAAAAATTGTTCACTTAGGTACATATGTAAAACAAGTTAAAAAGTTATTAAAACAAATTCAGAAAATACCTGCTTTGGAAAATTCTTCAATAAATTTTTAACCGATTTAAATAAAACATCTTTGTTGGCCTTCTACTATACGTTACATATATAATTTGACATTGTGCATACAGTATAAAAACACCCACCAGCATATTATATAAAATATAGATACATATTCAGTTTTAAATATAATAAATACAATTTTTTTGACGCATTTTTGGTATTTTCAATAAATATTTATTTTGTCACTTAAAAAAACTCGAGTTTTAATTGATTCCACCAGGTAAAATAAGTGGACAATAAAAACATTTGTATAATATTGATATAATTTGAAAAAAATTATGTAAAAACATTAACCATTCAGTTTTAAATAAATACGAGTATACGGTAAGTACCATGTATTTTTAAATCCACTGTTGTCACAGAAAAAACACAATTTTTTTTTCACAATTATTACAAATAAACATTTTTTATTTACATTTAACCTTATCTTCTGCTATCACATGTCAATTGCATTAAAACATTTTTTTATATCTTCAATTTAACTTTATAACATTGAAATTTTAACCTGCTATATATAATGGATTTTATCTCTATCATTTACGATGGTTAAATTATTTTCTGATATTGTGAAATATATATATTTTTCTTCAAGAAAGTTAAGTCCTAAAAAAAATGTGTTACCTTTCAATATCTTATTTTTACATTATAAATTTACTTAATCTTTATATAATAATTATTTACATAGGTACGTACCTACATGCCTACACTAACAAATCTTTTCCTGTCGACATAACTGCTATAACAGCTATTTTTTTTTCTTTATAATTTTTAACATATACTTAAATACGGCATGTTAATTTCTAAAAGAAGTGATTAGTTATTTTTTACAAGAAAATTGACTGCACAGGTATTATTTTACTGGAATAATTTATATGTCTCCTTTAAAACCATTTCTTTTTAATGTAAATAAAATAAATACTACTTACGAAGATTGGTCACTATCTACACAATTTAATTGCTTTTCACCACTCCATTTTTTTAAAAAATGTGGCATTGAACTACATTTTATTTGTCTTTAGGAATAAAAAAAAAATATTGGCGGTACAAATTTATTTCATATTTGCAACATACACCAAACAACACTTAGTTGGCATAATTATTATTTTCTTATTATACCTATTCATGATTTTTTTACATTCTTCTTTAATATTTATACAATATATTAAGTACAATGAAACATATCTTTAAAATCTTAATGAAATAATTTAAATTGTATTTAGAATAAAATAAGCTCAAAATACAGCATATTATCTTCTAATATCACAAGTTAATTGCACTAAAATATTTTTTTAATATCCTCAATTTAACTTTATAACACTAAAATTTTAACCTACTAGGTATATACATATATAAAATGGATTTTATCTCTATCATTTACGATGATTACATTAATGTCTGATATTGTGAAATATATATTTTTCTTCAAGAAGGTAACCCCTAAAATAAAATTGTTACCTTTCAATATCTTATTTTTACATTATAAATTTACTTAATCTTTATACAATAATTATTTACATAGGTACGTACCTACATGCCTACACTAACAAATCTTTTCCTGTCGACATAACTGCTACAACAGCTATTTGCTTTTCTTTATAATTTTTCCCATATACTTAAATATGGCATGTTAATTTCTAAAAAAAGTTATTAGTTAGATATTTTTTACAAAAAAATCGACTGCACAGGTATTATTTTACTAGAATAATTTATATGTCTCCTTTAAAACCATTTCTTTTTAATGCAAATAAAATAAATACTACTGACAAAGATTGGTCACTATCTACACAATTTAACTGGCTTTCACCACTCTATTTTGTTAAAAAATGTGGCATTGAACTACATTTTATTTGTCTTTATTTTATTAATATCCTCAATTTAACTTTATAACATTGAAATTTTAACCCATTATATATAATGAATTTTATCTCTAACATTTACGATGGTTATACGAGACATCCTTGGGGGATTTCTGACAACACTCCAAGTCGACATATTTTTTACCTACAAAAAAATTATATACTATATATTTTTTTAAAAACAAAATATTACTCACAATATAACGTTTAAGTACATAAGTCTTTAATGAGCCCCTTGCATTCGCAACCCGCAGCCTGCGGAGCTGTGAGTAGTTCCTTGACCGCCACCCTCGCCATTAGCCCCTATCTACAATGCTGATGGTTTCTTGATTATAAATAGCTACCAACATTGACATTTTATTACATACAAACTTGACTGATTCATGAAGTTATTCCTTTTTAACTGTTCGCAAATCTTTTATTTGATGAAAGAAATCTATCGTATCTACTCCAAATTCAAATTTCTCATTCTTCTAAAAAAATTTAACCTGAAATACCATAACATTATCAACATTAATTTATGAATACATTTTCTGTCGTTTACCTGTATTTAATAGATATTCAACAATTTTTATTAAAGATTTATGTTGGGTATTGACTAAGTATATCCTTATTTCATAAAAACTGTACTATTACATTACTTTGTCAGTTATTACAAGTATACAGAAAAATTATTTTATGGACTGAAAATGCCACTTCTAAATACTAAATTATATTTGTTACCTTTTGAAAACAGTTCCCAAACATATTTATTTATTTATTTATTTATTTATTTATTTATTTATTTAAGAAGTAGGAAACCCAACAGGATTAAAAATCCCAATAACAGGGTAACACTAAACAAGTAACAAAAAACAAGGTGATAAAGTACAGTATAAACATAATCTAACTAATGTGACAATACAAAAAGAGACAAAAAAAATTACCTATAAGAAATTATACACTTCCTCACAGAGGTTTTATATCTATTCAAAGAAATATTAAAGATATCAACTAGTTGACATAGATTGCTATTAAAATATCTTGGAATTCTATGAAACGGTGAATTTAAATTATAATTACTATGCGAGAGTTGAACATAGAAAACCGAGAACTGACGGTTAGCATACACCGGGGCTAAAAAATTTAACAGAGACAAAATATCTGTATCAAAATATCCATGAACAATTTTATATAACAAAACACAATCAAAAAATTGTCTACGCTCTTCTAAACTAAGCAATTTATGTACATTAAGAGAGTTCTTATATGGAACGTGTAACAATTCGCGATTAAATCTATAATTAACATTATTAATAAATTTGATTTGAACAAACTCAATTCTGTTTATATATTTAAAATATAAAGGAGACCAAATTACCGTATTA